GAGCCCCTACAGTGATAATTGGAGGCTTTACAAATAGAGTGGAGTGTATTTGATGCAGTGGAGTTGAATGTGGTTGCAGTCGCTTGCTCATCCATTCATTACTTCTTTTAAATTTAGGTGGACTGTCTGAATCCCATTAACCACCAGAGACTGTGTGTGCTCTTCAGCAGCTCTTCTGCCCAGTCCAGCAATGCTCCCAGTGCCTGTGTCAGTCCTTGGTAGGATTTTTTTCACCCTACACTATTCCACTTAAAAACAGAATTCCAGCAATTAAAAAAAAAACAAAAACAAAACAGTCCTTAGGACCTGTATTTAAGTACGTGGTCATATATGAATTGATAGAACTTTTAAACTTGTGAAGTAAATGTGAAAATACATGTTTATTCATGAGTAGAAGTAAATGAGAGTACATTAAGAGTGAAAAAATGTGAGGGATAGAAGAGAAATTTGTATTGGTTGACTTTCCCTTATCTGAAATGCTTGGGACCAGAAGTGTTTTGGATTTGATATTTTTTTCAAATTTGGAAATATTTCCATATACTTAATGAGATATCTTGGGGATGGGACCCAAGTCTAAACATGAAATTCATTTATGTTTCATATACACCTTGTACACGTAGCCTGAAGTTAATTTTATATAAGATTTGTAATGATTTTATGTATAAAACAAAAGTTTGTATACATTGAACCATCAGAAAACAAAGGTTTCAGTTGTGGCATTTCCCACTTGCGGTGTCATGTCAGGGCTCAAAAAGTTTCAGATTTGGGAGCATTTTGGATTTTGGATTTTCAGATTAGGGATGCCCAACCTGTACTTAAAAAGGCAAGAAAGTTGACACACAAAAGCTTGTTTAGAAGCATTTTGATGATAGTATGTACAATTTAGGCAGGTTTCCTTCAGGCATAATTTTTATAAAAGCAGTCAACCTTTTGCATTATTAGTGGGTTTTAGTCTAAAACTTAATTTTAAGTAGATCGATAAAAACTGAAGTATATTTTGTGTTTTAAATTATTTGTTTCAGATTACTGTCATGAAAACCTCACACAGATGTACATAGCCTTACATTACATAGTTCACCTTTAGTTTTAAAAGTACTATGGAACATAACTGCTTTTTTGGGGGCACTGTTTCCATGCCAAAACATATTCTGTGTTTTAATTTTGGATACCTGAAACACTTATTTCCAACAGTGAGCTCATGTTTTCTTCCAGTAGTATAGCTTCAGCAGGCAGACTTGGGGCTGGCAGAGCCCATAGGAATTTTCTCTGGGAGTTTATAGGTCAAGGCTTGAATAAGATGTGGATTTCAGCAGTTATATAGCCAGACCGTCTTGTGAGCATTTATAGGTTAAATAAAAAGGAACTGGCACTTTAGCAAGAGCTGCTGTTTTCTATGCTCAGTAAAGGCATGGTCAAGAGAGTAGGAGACAGGAGTCCCGCCTTGTGTTGACAGGGCTTAAGCCTTTGTAAGGAAACTGTTACCTCTTCTTAACTCAAATCAGTTGTACTCAATTAATATTATAATTTATGCATCCTCATTAGTTTCATAAGATACTAGTGGATTGGGAGTGAAAAAATTGCTATAGTGTGGCAAGTCTAAACTTGTTTTATTGGATGAGCCAAAACCTGCTTCATAACAACAAAGAACATTACCTGCTTTAATACTTCATTGAAAGTACCATACATTTAATAGGTAATTATAATTTGTGGTCTCATGAAATGTCTTTGGTGCATGGTAATTCTTATGTTTCCAAGAGGTGGTTTCTTCTTTTAGGATTGTAACAATGGAATTTTATGGAAAGAATGATCTTACATTAGGAATATTTTTAGAGAGATACTGTTTCAGGTAAGAACATATTTCTTCTTCTGTTCCATTACACATTTTTGACGCTGAAAATTTCAACCTAAAATGTAAACATGAGTTGGATGTCAGGTGACTGTTACATAATCCTCACTTTCATGGTGCATATCAGAGTATATAATTCAAAGAAGTAATCTATTTCATATTTAGACTGAGATCCCTTATCCAGAACATTCCTCATATCTCTGCCCATCTAATTACCCTACCCTCGACATTTTTCAGATACCTGTTTTTTTACAGTGATTCAAATGAGAGGTAAAATGTTGGAATCATCTAGACCTCAGTTTAAGTCTTAGCATCATCACTCGCCACTTACATGACAAAGCTCTTTACTGGTCCCCTTTATAGGGAATAACAATCCCCAGAATTGTCAGAAGGTAAAAGGAAATGTTTTAAAATTCTTTGGCAAATAGAAGGTGCTTAACAAGTGGAAACCGTCACCATGCTATAGCTGAAGACAGAATGTTCAGCTGCAGGCCCAGAGCAGCATGAGTACCTTGTGCAGATTGCCCACTAGTCATGCTGCACTTTGACAGTGGTTCTGATTTCTGTTTCATGCTTAATATGAGAAGGGCTCTTTTGTTTGTCAAAGGCCTTCTTATCAGTGTCCAAGCATGTTCTGTGATACCCCCATGGTACATCATATTCGGCGCTTTGTTCATGGCCAAGGCTGTGTACAGATAATCCTGAAGGAGTTGGATTCTCCAGTACCTGGATATCAACATACAATTCTTACATATTCCTGGTGTAGAATCTGCAAACAGGTAAATAGACCGTATTACTATATTTTATTTGCCATTTATTTCTTTATTTGTATAGTTTTTTTTTGAGGGCAAGGTCTCCTGTATTGTATTGGATTTGTCATTTGTCATTGAGCTCTATTTATCATTGTTATTTTACCTCCCATTGCTGTATGTTCAATCTAGTATTTGTTTTTTGAAGATCTCTTCTTAGGAATGTATCAGTCATTAAATAAAATACAAGCACCTTGTACAGTAAAGTCTCTTGAGGTTGTATCTTGACAGTTCTCAATTATGTTTGTTCATTCAACAAACATTTAGCACCATTTATGTGCCAGATACTGTGCTAGGCCCTAGGAAAAAAAAAAGAATAAGGAATGACTTCTGTTCTCTAGGGGAAGAGAGAGATTTGTACAGCAATAACTGCAGTATAGTAGGATATTTGTGTAACAGATTTGAGCCTATATCAACATTTCTGTCCACATACAGGTGAGACCATGTTGAAATTGATCTCTACTGGTTTTTATGTACATTCTTGAGAAAAGGGCACGTGTTTTATTTTTTCTTTGTGCCTTTCTTTACTTTTCTAACTCTGGGGCAAATATTTGATGCCAATATTGTTTTTTTTTTTTAATATATGATTTTTATCCAGACTGCTTGCAATCTGGATAAAATGTTCCAAATTTAACTCATTGCCTTAATTGGGTTATTTCTTTCTTTCTTTCTTTTTTTTTTTTTGAGATGGAGTCTTGCTCTATCGCCCAGTCTGGAGTACAGTCATGTGATCTCAGCTCACTGCAACCTCTGTCTTCTAGGTTCAAGCTCTTCTCCTGCCTCAGCCTCTGGAGTAGCTGGGACTACAGGTGTACGCCACTATGCCCAGTTAATTTTTGTATTTTTAGTAGAGACAAGGCTTCACTATGTTGGCCAGGCTGGTCTCAAACTCCTGACCTTGGGTGATCCGCCCGCCTCAGCCTCCCAAAGTGTTGGGATTACAGGCGTGAGCCATGGCGCCTGGCCTTAATTGGGTTATTTTGAAGTGTGCTTTTGGACGGCGCATGTGGGAATTACATATAAAATAGCATGACCTACATTAATCAGTGGTAGAGAAGGGCAAAATCAAAGTTGCACCTGCATCAGCAAACATATAGACATAAAATTATTTCTAGCAATTCTCAGTCTTAGTTTCATACTTGTTCTTACAGACTTTAGTTCCTATTAGATAGCTGATAATAGTTTGTTGTAGAATATGTTAACTGGGTAGACTGACCATCGTTGTAAATGAATAACTTAAATTTGATCTTTATGACTTACATGCTTTGCTATATGCACTTTATTTTAAAACAAAAACTTGTGTTTTTTTAATGCTAGAAAGGAAAAGGTAAGTTTTGTTACACTAAAATGAAAAACTTCCAGTGTCAAGGAAAAATACAACATATATGACTAAACATATGTAATATCAAATTTCTATAAACCATGGTAATAGAAAAATGGGCAGAGGACATGACAATGCAATTTAATGCAAATAGTTACTAGTACAAATAAATGTTATTCATTAGTAGTCAAATAAGCACAAAGAAAACCAGTAAAATCTCTTTAACGTTTTTTCTTTATGGGATTACATTTCAAAAATTTCAATTCTAATTCCTAGGATTGGGTGAGAAAGTGGGGGAAATTGATATTCTTAAATACTGTTGGAGACTGTATACATTGGTGCACTTGTTTTGGAAGATAATGTGGCAAAAATTATCAAAGACCATATAAATGTTTATGCCCTTGGACCTACCAATTCCCACCTTTATTGATTTATCCCAAGGGAATAATTGTGGATATTTGTAAATATGTATATACAAGGATGTTTATCAGAACATCATCTCAGTATGGAAAAACTTGTAATGTCTTAAAGGCACATCAATAAGGATTGGTTAAATACATGTCCATTTAATAGGATACTCTGCGGCCATTTGAAAAGTTGTGCAAGAATATTTTATGTAGGCAAATATTCACGATATATTGCTAAGTAAAAGATTATGAAACTAATTATAGGAGTTTTTATTTACAAATGTACTGGCTGTGTGCATGTCCATGTGTGTATATATATATGTATATGTGTGTGTATGTGTTATATATGTATAGTAAAATACATCGAAAGTGAACATATACTAGTATACTGATGTTGTTGGTGGGTTTATTGGTGATGCTGCTCTCCTCTACCACCCCCAACTCCACCCACCTTTGAACTTTTCATTCTTCTCTCAATTTTCTGCAGTCAGTATATGTTACATTTGTATTAGAAAAGAAAATGTTGGCCGGGTACGGTGGCTCACACCTGTAATCCCAGCACTTTGGGAGGCTGAGGCGGGTGGATCATGAGGTCAGGAGATCAAGACCATCCTGGCTAACATGGTGAAACCTCATCTCTACTAAAAATACAAAAAATTAGCT